TCAGAGAAATAAGCTGACTGCACGAAAGCGCCACCTCAGCCACGTTACTTTTTCAGGTACTGATACTCCAGAAGAGAACTTCCTCATAACAATTCTGATTATTTTCTTATTTGTTGTGATCTTTTAATTGTAATATCTCATATTTGCTCTGATTCATCAAATAAAATCATACATCTTATGTTTCTGTGTTTGGTCTCTCTTCTACAAATATCAGCTGAAGATGTGGTGACTTTGTGTTGGATTGCAAAAGTCTTGAACAAGGGGGTTTGAGTGAGCAATCACAGGTAACACACCTGTGATTACTCAGTTTATGTGGTGTCATGCTCACGTGCTCATAACAGCAGGCATGTATCCAGGATTTAAAATGGAGTGGTGTCTTTCAGTCTTTGAGTGGATCCTGGTTTAAAAATCAAGCAGTTAAAATACTCTGACATGTGCATGCATTGAAAGACGTGGCTACACTGAAGCACCATGGGAATTCTATTGAAGCACATGACATAGATGGGTGACTCTGCTAGGAGGCCTAGGGGTACCACTGCTCTCCTCTGATACTTTATTAAGGCTTTTTTCTTCTGTCATTCACCACAGCTCTACATGTCTGATTTGGCATACTTTATTTTATTTACATCAGGTAACTTTTCTGACGCAGCTGAGGAATTTCTTCTCTCAGATCTGAACCAGCGATCTTTTGTTTGTTAGGCCAGCATGTAAACCACTGATTCACTGTGTGTGGTATTATAGTATTACTGTTATGTATTTTGATTGATCTATTAAGGTCAGTGCTGCTCCCCAGGGGAAAAAATGATTATAAAACAGCCAGGAAAACACCTTAGGCCGGCCTTAAAGAACAGAACAGCACCACTGCTCCTTTGGACATTCAGTAGCTAAGAAAACTTTCACTTGTACCTTACGATTTTCTGTTACCTCATTAAGGGTATAATGTGATTAGTTTGCTTTTTGTTTTGTTGCCGCAAGAATTACTTTGAATGTTACGGCTGTATTTGCAGATTAGAAGTGGATAACTTATTTTATTTATATTATTATAAGATAGCGACTTGTTCTTACACTCAGTATTGATTTAACAAATTAAAAAATCGGAGGCACCAATTTGATGATCTCAAGAAAATATCACATATTAATTTGGACTGATATCTATCTGGAGATCGAGTCACTTAAAAGAAATTATTCTAAGGCCCTTTAATATTACATTTTTGCTCTGTTATTCACCTTTTTGTCTACACCCAGCATATATTCTGCACTGTGGGATTATAAAGTAACACTTTCATCCCTAAAGTTGCTTAATGTGCTAAAATATTGTTATGCCATGTTTTTTCTTTAATGGTAAAGTCTTCAACAATTTCTTCAGATGATAAATTTGTGACCTAAAAAGTGAGTTGGGTAGATGGAAAGATGATGAAAGAAATCATTCAAGAAATTACAAACCATTAATTAGAACTTTGTTTCTGTATCTTTATTATAATTCTAACAATTTATCTCTTAAAACATTTGAAATTCATATATGTTTTATATGAATGTGTGTATATGCATATCACATATACATATATATTCTGTAAGTTACTTTTCAGCAGTTCATATTCTCATTTTTTTTAAAAGATCTCTTAAAGGAAAAGAAGTGCTTTCTATAGAGTCAGACCGATTCCCTCTGATATTCACTTCTCCAACGCGACTACGAAACGCAAAGAAAGGCTTAAAAAACAAAAAACAGCATCTCACCAGTCACTTAACAAGATCGTTGTATGAGCAAGATGTTTTTTAAATCTTATCCAGAGTTCTTAATTGGCCCTATGTACACTAGCAGACTTTGAGACATGTAGAGTCACACTCGGCTTGTTCACCCCTTCAAAACCTCCGAAAGGGAAATGTGAAAAAGTCTCAGCCGCTAGTGGAAACGGGGCCGTTGCATATTATGCTGGTAATAAAACAATGAGCTGTGAGCATACTAGCACATGTTAGCGACTGCAGAGGGTGCTCTGTACATACGGGAAGATGCAAACGATGGGTGAATACGGAGCAGAGCTCCTAATCCCATCAGATTATCAACAGTGGGAGGGGGGTTGTTGCAGAGAACAGGTCGAACTGTATAGAAAGCAGAAGAGTTAAATAAATACAATTTACCTTTTCATGTTAAACATTATTTGGAAGACAGAGATTCTTTAGAACTTTTGAGATATTTTTTTTCTTTTTTACATCTTAAACCATAGTTAGACCATTATTTTCATCGTCCTTATTGCTATTTCCCTTGAATTCAAATATAGTCTTTCCTTAGCCATCTGCAAAGAGCAAATACAAAAACCGTCCCCCCTTAGTTACCTTTGCTAAATCGCATATATAGTCTGTATGGATGCATGCATGCATGTGCGCTTTTAAGCGAGGTGACTATGAAAATTCTTAAATCTTTTGGCAAAAATAGACTGACGATAGCAGAAGAAATGCACATTTGATATGTGTTCATGGACTCAAAAGCAGCAGGAGAGGTGAAGCGTTGTTCAAGGTAGAGAGGTCATGACAGAGCCCTTATATTTAATCTCAGCAATAGTAAGACAAGCAGGACTTGGGGATGGGATGAGATGTAAATGTGCCACAAAAGCTCATGTCGGGGGATCACACCGGGTCGCAGGAGAAGAGTTAAACTTGGGTCTCAAATCAATCGCCAGGGAGTGAGATATATATATATATATAGATTAGAATGTTATAGAGAATTTAAAAAATATTATTTTGTATTATTCTAAATCATTTTCACTCAGAGCAACAGCTGCTACATTTTTACAGCATATTAAGTGGTGAATAACTTTTAAAAGCGTGAGAAAAATATATTTTGAGGCCTTAAAGGTTAAAAGGTGATTTTGATTAAAGCTTCACAGTCTCACAACAAGAGAAACAATAAGGAGAACGAGGGGGGGAAACATAATATTCTTAAATGTGCTTCACATTTAATTGCAGTGCTTCTTGTCACATAGAAGCTATGTTAAGGGTACATTATGCATCTTTCAGTTCAAAAATACCTACATGTACATATATATATTTATGTATCTATATAACCACGACAATTATCTTCACTTCAGTCAGAGAAATAAGCTGACTGCACGAAAGCGCCACCTTAGCCACCGAAGGCAGAAACCGGGACTCTCTGAAGATCCAATAACAGTAAGGACGATGATAGTAATGATAGATAGTAACAATAAATCTCTTCATATCAATATCAGTATTCCAGTATTCCCATTTAAAGTTTAAAAAGTGTAAGAACAATCATAGTATTAAAACTCGATATAAGCGTTTTTCTCTGGGATCCCCTCGGCCGGGTTTTTCCTCCTGGGTTTCGTCGACAGACGGAGAGAGGCCACTCCTGGAAGGAGCCGGGGGGATTAAGTGGGAAAGAACAAGAAAATGGCAGTTTTTACTCCTTCCCTCCCCTCTCCTTTCCAGTCTGCCTCGCACAGAAGGCCTGAATGAGAGTACAACACTTTGCCTTGATGCTGAGAAAGTCTTTCTCCGTAAATAAAATCAGTCTCTTTGCGTCGTCGCAAAATCCCAACGAAAGCACAGTCTGTCTCCGTTTTGTACATCTCGGATCCGAACGTAGCGTGTGTGTCTATATATAAGGTGTCCCATAAATTCTAACACAAACACTGGGAAGTGCTTGTGTTTGTGTTTACATGTTGTGGTGTATGCATGCAGGCATGGATGGAGTAACTCGGGTGCCTGTGTGTGCATATCTGTGTGTTCGTTTACTTTTATGTTGTTGGTCTGGGCACTTATTTTTGCTACAAATTTGTGATACAGTGACCAGTCTGTATATACGTCATTATAAGACTTAAGATAATAAAGAGCTATAGAGAAACACACACATACACGCGCGATCCCGATCACGGGATCTGCAGTGAGGACAGAGCCCTACCAGCGGCGAGGTAAAAACAAGACGCAGCCAAACACGCGGCTTATCCACGCGCAGCTTATCTACCGGCGACCTCGCCTCGTTTTAAAGAGACGCGGAGGCCGTCGCGATAACCTGCCCTACGTTCACCATTCACACAGATAAAGCCTCACTCTGGCACACATTCATCCTCATTCACCCTCAAGTACTCGCTCCTCTGGGATATTTATTATGAAGTCAGCATCCGCTCTTTAATCGTAAACGTTAAACCAGCCAGCTGAGGGGGTAAGAGCACTACTCGACGAGATGACTACGTGACACCTTTTCATTTCTTCAGCCTGCCTCTTTTCCAGTCTAACTGGCTTATTTTGTTCCTCTCAAGTATTTGTAATCTCTGCTGCAGCCACAGACATTTTGGATGAGAGGGCGTTTGCGTTAATTGTGTCGATTGGTGTGACCGTGCGTGCGTGCGCGTGGGGAGTGTATTTGTGTAAATCAGCCTGCCACATGTGAGCAGCGCCAGCCGGTGTCTTTATGGATCGCCAGCCCTTCCTCCATCCCTGTGTTTCCACCTCCCTTTGGGCCTCGACTCCCTCTTTCTGATGCTCTCTGTGTGAAATCTGGCCCCCCTTCATTTGTTGTGTGAATCCACCATGGACAGCAGCAGCAGTTGTGTCTTCCTCCCTCATTGGCTTCAACCCCTCCTTCTGTGCCTCTCTCTCCATCTCTGTATTTGCAGCCTCAGCTCCGACTCCCGTCGTCCCTCCTCCTGTCCGTCTGTCCATCCCGAGGTGAGAGAACAGAAATGGGAAAGGGGCTGCTGGACAGCCTGCGGACAAAAGAAAAAACGCAGGACACGCGTGATGTTTCCAGCTTTCTGTGTTTGTTCGTCCGTGGTGTGGTTGTGTGTCGTTCTATCCTCTGACTCACGTTTGTAATATGGAGAGAATAAATTGATAAATCTGCTGTGACTCATGCAAATGGACAAGCAGTGTGACTAAGAAAACCGGGAAAACATTGGTCATCGCACTTGATGCTTGAGCAGTTGGGTGCATCTAAGTTCACCCTGTTCTTCCTGTAATATTGTAGTTAATGTTGCTCCAGGATCGTCACTGCAGCTTTTCCTAACTGACACAAGTTAGGAAAAGTTTGACTTTAAAGTTTTCTGGAAGTCAGGTGAGGTGATAAGACCAGCAAGATGGCAGAAGAAGCAGAAGTCTGTACTAAAAGGCCGAATTTGGGGCTTTGGCAAGATAACTTCATATTTGACCTTGAGTTGTGTGTTACTGCTCTATAAACCCCAACTTATGATCTTATAACAGGGCAACTATTTATACTCGTTGATCTTATATCAGATTTATTCATATAGTGCTTCTGTATTCTTGCCAACCATTCACAACACTTTATCTGCCTCATATTCACGCGGATTTAAAATCAGAAAAATCTTCATTTTTATATCTGTATAAGCTTATTGGTGCTGCCCTGCACAGCAGTTTCAGTTTCTGCATGACCCTTGGAAAAATTAGTTGCCACTCTTAGAACAAATAATTATTATATCTTTGTCAGATCTTCCTGTATCTAACGATAGAGTTATAATGCTAACATTTTTGTGAAAGGTCAGCCTTCTGTTCAGATTTCAAGTTAATTAAAGTGCACACTCTCTCATACAGAACTTTTATTATCACACATACTCAGTTATGCTGTTTAAACTCTTCAGATATTTCTAACATTACAGTTTGCTCTGTAAAATATTCTGGTCAGCTGCCAGTCATAATGCTGACAACATGCATTCTCATAGCCACATTGGGAAACCCTGGTTTTGATTTATGGAGTTGGTATCCACCTTTCGGTCACCTCCTAGCCTGATTGGTAAAGTTGGGAAAAGTGTATTCACATAAGGAAAAGATATCGTTGGCGTGTTAAATTCAGTTCCGAGCACAATCTTCAGGTTGTGTTTGTTAAATTTCACTGCACAGACTGTAGTTTTGTCCTATGCAAATCTAAAAGTAATTGTTAAGTTTTTATTTTTAGACATTCTGGAAAATTTGTTCATGCATTCATGTCTAGTGGGCCTGATTACTGCAATGCTCTTTTTGCTAGAGATAAGTAGGCTGCAGTCTATTCAGAATTCAGCTGTAATGTTATTAACTAAAACTCACTCCAGTTTTGGAAGGGCTAAACTGGCTTCCAGTATCCCATAGAAGTGATTTTGGAATGCTCTTATTGTATCTTAAGCCCTAAATGGTCTTGGATCTTGGTACAACAGTCTGTTACTTTACGTCCCATCTCGCACTCTTAAATCTGTCACTGCCAAACCGTTAGACATATAATTTCCTCGGAGAGATAAATTTGGGATGTAGTGTTTTCTGTTGCCAGCTTATCCTGCCCAAAACGTTGGAACAACCTACCTCAAAATATTCAGGAAGCAATCTCTAAGAGTTTCTCGAAAGCATTGGTCTTTAATCTTGCAATTAACTCGTGGCCCTACTTGAAATTAATCACTGAATCCAATTCAAGCAAGAGGCTGCTGTTCTTCAGTGACAATAAATCTAAAGTTGTGAGGATCCTGAGGTAAGAGGGGCCGTTCTAGGAACCCACCGGGTGTCCTCTGCTGACTTTGCAGGGCTTGCAGTGTAGCCAGCAGATATTTCTCCAGACTTCCTGTGCCACTAATTGATTAAAAATCCAGAGGATTATTTTTTTAAGGACTATGATAAGCAAAATTTTTAAGTGATGGTTATAAGATTGCATTACAGCAGTCATTTGTTCTGAAAACTTTTTTACATGTATGCACCAAAGTCAGTTCACATATGATTGGTCAATAGAAGTCACACCACAAACAGGAAGTGGAAATCGCTCACCTACAGATGTCTAGATAGACAACCTGTCTAGACAGGGCTCACTAGTTTAAAGGGCTGACAACCTTTAAACTATAGTAACTGGCCCCATGTTACTTTTCCCCCTGGTGTCCCCCAATCACCACTATGTGTAGACATGTCGATATATAACTAAATAAGAAAAAATAACCCGAATAACAAGGAGTAATAACACAAAAATCTTTTATCTTTACCTAATTCCACTGATAATGAAAAAAGTAACATTGATGCAATGTCAGGTCAATTTATGTCTTGGCAAAAATCATTTTAAAAATACTGAAATTGCCATGTTATTTTTATCTTATGGAGCCATGGAAATCTCAAAAGGTGAGCTTTTTATCTGCAAATAAGATCACCGAATTGTGGTTCATTAATTGTCTTGTGCATACGGAAAGTAATATGCTGCTCTAAAAACTTAACCTCTTAAGCCCCAAGCCTACCTGATCTCCTGCCTTTTGCCCCTGTATCAGGGGGCATTAGGGCTTAAGAGGTTAAGCCACCCTCAGCCACATTACAATGGGCAGAAATAAAATAGCAAAGTTTTATATTGACGAATATAATTTACAGTGAGTCTCTAACAGTTTCAGATACACTATATTTGGTAGCTGTCCACATTTGAAGTTGTATGTATGTCAAGTTATCAAAGTAATAGCTTATGTATGCACAAATGAGAATAATTTAGTGCATATGAGTACGAAATTTTACCACATAGGACTTCAGTAGCATGTGGATTTTTTAAGGTAAGATAAGGAGAATGCTTATTATCGGGGCGATCGTGGCTCAAGAGTTGGCAGTTCGTCTTGTAGCCCCAGCTTGGACAGTCTCAGTCGTTGTGTCTTTGGGCAAGACACTTCACCTACCGCCTACTGGTGTTGGCCAGAGGTGCCGATGGCGCGATATGGCAGCCTCGCTTCTGTCAGTCTGCCCCAGGGCAGCTGTGGCTACAACTGTAGCTGCCTCCACCAGTGAGTGAATGAATAATGGAATTGTAAAGTGTTTTGAGGTTCTTGAAAAGCGCTATATAAATGCAATCCATTATTATTATTATTATTATTAACATCGGGTGTAAGTGCTATAAGCACACATAGTACTGAATGGTATTAACCAGATAGAAATCGCATTTTAAAGGTGGCATTACAGAGGCTTTACAGGTTGCACTTAGCAGCCATACCTGTCCATTACACTCCTCAGGGCTCGTTCTATATTCATGCGGTGACCCACTCGTGTCACACCCAAATCCAGATAGTCGTCCTTGGTCAGGGAGGGCAGGTGGGTGCCATCAATCTCATTATCCAGGAAACGCTCTCTGTGCTCCCCCAAGTTCAGGTATCCCAGCCAGTCTGCCACGTCATACTTGGTCCAGTAGGGCAGCGGCTTGGAGGCGAAGGGCTTTGTGGGAGAAGGGGGCGGTAGATGGGGGTAACTCAAGCAGGGAGGTGGAGGGAGAGGGTGTAGAGGCGGAGAAGAGGCCCCAGACAGGAAATGAGTTGGAGAAAGTGATCGAGAAACTACTAAGGTTGAGTTCGGAGGAGGCGGCGCGCCAGAGGGGGCAAACAGGGGAGGCGAGGGAGAGAAGTAGGGGTCTCCGAGAGGGTTCCCAGGTGATGGCGGAGTGACCGAACCGCGGAGATCATACATGGCACTGTACAGAGGTGAGGTAGGGAGAAGTGGAAGGGATGATGGCCGTGGTGGGCCCATATTGGGTCTCTCTGAGGGTGAGATGAGGGGGCTGGGTGCTCGCCTTCGCTGGAGAATGTGTGATTCTGCTTTACGGGACTCACGACTGGGGATAAACTGGAATTCCAAGGCTTTGGTCCTGTAGACAGGTCTGTGTTTGGGAGAAGTAGGATAAGGGGAGTAAGATGTCGGTGACAGTGGGGAATGTGAACGTGGCGGCTGAGAAGTTGCTGGAGGCTGCGGAGATGGCGATCGTCCCCAGTTGGGGTACTGGGAGGCGGGGGTGGGAGACAGAGACAACGATGGCTGCGATAATGAGATCGGTGACGGCGACAGAGATCGAGCTGAGGGCGGGCTCAGAGCTGAGGCTGAGTCTTCTGAAAATCTGTGAGAAGAAAGAGAGAAATTATCACAGGGGAACAACAGTGATGTAAAAAAAAGTACAAACATGCACACACAGGGAAACAGTGTCCAGCTATTAATGACCGTGTGGATTAAAGTGCAAAAAATTGATTTGAAGGTTAACAATTTTATATTTTTTCCTCAAAGTTATCAGAGCCATGAGTTCACGATATTGATAATATCACAATATTTACACAAAATTAATTCCTTAACCATAGTTTTACAGTATTTTACAGATAAAGGGCTTCAGCATGGTTTGGTATGTGGCATTCAAAATGAGCAAAGTGTATTTAAAAGTTTATAAAAGGCATTATAATATTCAAAATATTATTATATCTTGGTCAAATCATCACAACCTCCTAGCATTAACCAGGCTCCCAGTCACATCATTTAGATCAG